GTCTGGTCTCAGGCCGGAGTTTGGACGGAGCCGCGCACGGCTTCACCAAAGAGATGAACTTAAGCATTGTCTCGGGTGTCTTTCTGCGTCGTTAAGTGAAAGGAGATTGAGTAAATATGTTCCCCATGCATGAGGGGCTCTCAATGGGCCGGCTCATTGTGCCCGGGCTCCGACAGGTGGTTGCCTGTTTATTATTCCCTCGTTATTTAGCGGGGACGGGGGCGCATCAAGGGAAGGGAACTCCCCGTCTTTTCACTTAGCCGGCCTGAACAGATTGTGCTGACTGGTTGCAGCCTGGTGGGACAGCGGTCACCAGTCCGCCCATCGCGGCCACCTCCAGCACCGAGCCCCCCAAAACGCCCCCCAGCAGCTCTGTAAACTCATCCACGGGACCAGTAAAGATCCACACGCTGAGATTATAACCTGTGTTTTCTTCATTTCCTGTTTGGTTGTAAACATTCCTACAACCTTTAAACCTGTTTTTTTTTTTTTTTAAACTATTTGTTTGTTTACCCATGACAGACATACTTCCCTCAGTGTCTGGAGACAGCTGATAAAGGGAGCAGCTTAAAGTGAGAGTGAGGGAGAAGAGTAGTCTGAGTGGATGCACACAGCATTCAGCCCTACATCCTAAGCCTCATCATTGTCCAATATCCCCTTTTGTTATCATTTCCTTCAAAGGGAAACGGTAGCATGTTGCAGTCTGCCAAAAAAAAAACAAAACCCCCAAAACAACTAAAGTATGATTCACAACTGAACATGGCTGCAGTGCCATTTAAAGCAAAAAAAGATGCATAAAACCATTTATTAGCCCCCAAAATAAAGTGACTTTTAAATAAAAAATTTACATCAACTAATCTAATCAAATGTCTACTAATGTATTTTCAGCTTTGTGAATGTTACAGCTAATTTTCCCACATGTAAAAATCAGATATTTAGAGAAAAAAAACTCACTTTATGATTATTAATTATCATTTGTTGTGACAGATCTATTCTTAAATTTGATCAATATTGAATTAATTGGTTATGGAATAGTTTTGAGGCTTGTTAAACTTCCAGTTGTTAAGATTTTATAGAAATACGAAAATGTATTTGTACAGATCCTCAGAGGCAGCAGAGATAAACAGCAAGTAGTTCCACTAGCTTTACTAATACATATCCATATATATGTTTAAAGACAAGCAAACTGTCTAATGTGGATGCTCCAGACTGCAGTAGTTGGGCATCCCTTGTTTCCCAGAGAGCTGTGCTCTGCGCTGCTCCTGCCATGTGCAGTTAACCAAACATCTATTTCAGGGGGACGCGGGTCGTGACCGGGCTCCACCTCGGCGGCGGCTCCCTCTCGGGGAGTTTTGGCCGCGGCTTCACCTCGGCGCCGGAGGGCCCGGCTGCATCTGGCGCGGGCGGCGCAAAGCTTTTGCTCGACACTGGGCGAATTAGCGATGCCACAAGACTCAGAAGAACAGTGACAAGCATTAAATCGATATTAACTTTGTATTAAACATGGGCCCCTCCCTCTTCCCCGAATGGACTGGAGCCACCGCGCACAAAGCGCTCTGTATGAACTCTTGGCTGCACCTGTTCCCTCTTACTTGGTCATGGGAGTTCAACTTCTTAGATTCACCCCAGGCTCTTTTTTTTTTGTCTGACTCACCCCACACTGAATTCTTTCAGTTGGGCTTTTGTCAGCGGGTTTTGATCTCGTCCTCAGCCCCCTCCATTTTACAACTCATAAAAACAACGGCGTTAAGAGCGTGTACTTCACTCTCCCAGTAGCTGTCCAAACTTGGAACTCAAAAGTTCCACACGGTTTCAGAGCTGCTCTTTTTCCGGGCGGACGGGCCCGGGGCCGCCCCTGCCTCACTGTTCACTTATTAGCAGTTGTCAGTGTGGATGTTGAGTGGTGTCCTAATCCTCTTAAAGTGCATGTTGGTACAGTTTGCATATCATTTTCTAATCTCGGAGAAAGGCCACAACCCTCCCTATTCACAGGGATCCCCTGTTCTCTTTCAGTTCAGCCACAGCCAACAGCATTAGCATAATCTGACAACCAATACCATTGTCCGTGACCTTGTATGCAAAGTTAATTGCTCATTAATACCAAACAAAACAGAGGGGTGCAGAGGAAGCACAGTGCTCCTTTAAATCCTTGTTTTAGAAGGAGTGCGCAGGCAGGTGGAACATCCTTTGCAGGGTCATTAAATTTGCTCTGAAATTAGAAGAGCATTTTAAATTCTGAACCATTCATTACGGTTTTTTAACAAAAAAATAATCTTGCGGTGGCGCTTCGAAGTACAGAAAATTAGATATCAAATGAGTTTCTGTTAAAAGTTTTAGCCATAATCTGGTACTGATGTTGTTTTAGGTCCACAAATGCACACACACAGGCGCGCACACACACACACACA